GAGATTGACTCTGAGCCATGGACGCTGATGTTGTTGTACCTATTAGTCTGCTACAGCGAGCGATTAAGGTTTATTGCGGAATTCCCAGAGATCCTGTCGGACTCCCACAATCTGGTCCTGGGGGCAGACTGGAATACCATCCTGAACCCAGGCCTAGACTCGCCCGTAGTCAGGCCGCTGAGATGGGACTCTTGCCTCCTATATGAACTGATTGAAACCAATGATCTAGTTGATGCTTTCAAAACTCTGAACCCAGATACAACTGGCTACACCTGGTTCGGCCCAACGTAGGGGACAACATCTGCCCGACGCTTGGACTTTGCGCTGCTACGGGGTACACCGTGGGACAACTGTCTGGGTGCCAAAGTCGGTATCTCACCTCTGTCGGATCATTCCCCAGTTATTTTTGAAACTCACCTGGGGGCCCCGGTCTATTCAGATTGAATGTCACTCACCAGGAGGATCCGTCACTTTTAGAATGGTTGAACAGGATCGTCAAAAACTGAGAAAAACTAACGAATCTTTGTGAGACCCCCCAACTTTGGTACGACGGGGTAATGGAAGCCCTGCAAGAAGCCTGCAGCACCTACTCGAGAATAAAAAACGGAAAATCGAACAGTCAAATCAAACAGTGGCAATCTGATGTGACAAAAGCAGAAAGTTGTCTGGGCCAGGACCCTGTCTCGAGATGGTATTGCCTGCAGAAGCGGAGTAAGGCCCTCCAGAATTTGGAGGCACAGAAAATCAAAGTTGAGGAACAACGCAAAGAATGTTTGCGGATCAAAGGAATGACTCATTATGATAGAATGACTAAAGAATCATTCCGAGCCTTGTTAAAATCAGTAGGCAGACCGCTTATGAAAGAACTAGAACACCCGTTCTCGTTGACAGCTCCCATCGCGGAAACATCAATCCAAATGTGTCAGTATGCCAAAGACTATTTCAGCGATATACTCAGTACTCGTCGCCCTTATAACACCCCGTTTACGGACCTAAGGGACCACTCGGATTTTTGGGATTTCTCCGATAGATACCTCCCATTGCACACGACCCTAGACCTGGATAGGCCCCTTACTGTTGAGGAACTCGAAGTGGCGGCACATGCGATGGCCAAGGGCAAAGCCCCAGGCCCGGATGGGCTGCCAATTGAGTGCATTATAGCCCTTTGGAGCTTTTTCGGTCCGGTACTTACCGGTATCTTCAACAAGGTCCTCGAGGGTCACCCCCTCCCCAACTCTATGGTAGCCGGAGTTATATCTCTGCTTTACAAGAAAGGCAACAAAAAAGACATTCGGAACTGGCGGTCAATCTTCGTGCTGAACGCTGCCTACAAGCTTTTAGCAAAGGCGATTGCCCTCAGATTGGCTAACTACCTTTCTCTCCTAACAGGCCAGGAACAGAGAACCTTTGTGAAAGGACGGTCGATCCACGACAATATCGTCACTACTTTGCAGGCTATCGAAATCATAGTTAAAGAGAGGAGAGACATTGTTGTTATTCTCCTTGACATGGAGAAAGCCTACGACAAGGTAGGTTGGACATTCGTCCAAACTACCCTAAGACATATGTGTTTTGACCCGAATATTTGCTCATGGGTGCAAGCAATGTACTCTAAAGCGACCACGACAGTTATGGTAAACGGTAAAAAATCTGACTCCTTCCGCCTCACCCGATCGCTACGTCAGGGGTGCCCATTGGCACCCTTGCTATTTGTAGTTCACCTCGAAGTTCTGCTGGATAACTTCAGATTCAACCCTCAGATCTCAGGTCTCAGGATCAGTAGGGGACCCAAGTGGAAAATTGGAGCTATTGCTGACGACCTTACAATGTGCGCAGAAAACGACCCGAGGGTGCTGGCTGAAGTGCAGAACGTCCTAGCGATATACTGTGAACTTTCGGAGGGATCGGTCAATTGGTCTAAAACCTCATACATATTGCCCCCCCCGTATCAGCTGTATGTAGATTGGGGCATAAAAACAATTCCTGGGGACTCATCCGAACGCTTCCTAGGAGTCCAAGTAGTTGTTACAGACTGCTCGGACTTTCAGGATCAGCTACTAGAAGAAAAAGTAACATCACGTCTAGCCAAGTGGAACCGTCCGTACCTCTCATCTTTGTTTGGCGGATCCCTCCTTATAACGGCAGCTGCATTCTCAACCCTCAAGTTCGTTTTAGCCATCCATCTACAGGGAGACAAAGCCTATAGGTCCATCAAAGCCAAGGCAAGGAAACTAGCATGAAAACCGACAGCAGATGAGGACCAAGGCTATCTAGCCAAAGTAGCCTGGGAAGCAGTGTCCTTTCCCAAAGATGAAGGCGGATTAGGCATATTGGACCCGAGACAGCGGAACTTGGCCTTACTGGCCAGATGACCAATTCGAGCTCTCTCGGAAATATCCGACAAATTGTGGATCGCAATGGGGGAATATATATTGGGAAAAGAATGGAACCTGAGTAATCACGCGGATGTATGGCGGTGCCTCATGCTGGATTCCTTTGCCAACCGACGCCCAAAATCTAGATTATGGAATGTTGTCCTTTTTGCATGGAAAAAGCTAAAACCAACGGACCACACAAAACCGACTTCTAGGATAGAGGTATTGGAAGAACTGTTTTCCGAAAATAAGTTCATACTGGATGAGAAGGGGGAACCTTTCTCAGCAGCTGATAAACCCGGTTTATTTGCACGAAGATGGATCGAAAGAGGCATTTTTCGTATTAGAGATATCAGGCGCACGGACAACTCAGACTAGTTCAAGTTGACAGAACAAGATCTAAGAAACCGCTTCCCGTATCTGAGGGATGCAGGAGCGAAACTGCGCAGACTGCGAGAGGCTATCCCTTCCCATTGGATAAATCTGCTAAATTCGGACCAACAAATGGAATACGAAAGATGGTACCGTCCTCTTGGGGACAACTTGAACCCTGAGCAGAAGTACTACAGACTAATGGAAGGGGTTGCCCAAAATAGTCCACTTCTTCAGACTTGGTCGGCAGTTCATAGTGCAACTGATGATGATTTTCTCCTCCGTTTCGACTCAGAGAGCTCTACCGCCCAGGAATTGCTACTGGGGGAATGCAAAGTAGATCTAAATCCGGATCAACATGGAATAGCCCATCCTCTGGTTAAATTCAGAGGCACCCTCCTGGTTGAACTCAAATTAGACCCCACGAGGTGACACTGGCTAATTCCGACTCGCTGTGGACAGTCCGCGGTCCCAATGCATCGGTACACATCCAAAATAGGCACTGGTATCCTCAGGGAGCACTCACCGAATAGACCTTTTGAATTGTTGAGCAAACGCAGGCAGGAACAGTCACTCATCGCTTATGATAAAGACACATAGGTCAATCATTGGAAACTGCTCAGATCTCTGCCCTCAGTTAAACTGGGGAGCTTACTGTCACGGTGGCATTAGTCTCTCTTGGTAATTGCTTCTGCGGCCTTTCTGATAGCGAGGGGCATGGAAGTATCCACAAGTTGTGCGCGCTGTCAGTGGGCATGGGAAACTAACAGACATCTGTGGTTGGATTGTCCCTTCTCAAAACGGATCTGGTCCTGGTGGCGTAGCCACTGGTCGAAACTTCCCTGGCCAACCTTTGAGTGGTCAGACGAGTTCATACTTTCGGGCATTCCAGCAGCCGCTAATAGGGGCGACTCAGCGGCCTGCTACGTGGCACAATCTTTCAGGGGCATTCTGATAACAACCATCTGGGGCGAGAGGAACTCGCATGTATTTCGACAAGAGCGTTGTGTTGACGTGCTGCTTAAGACAGCAATTCGTGCTTCAAGCCGACAGTGCATCTGGGCAGATTGGTTTCGGAAGGCCAAGGGCAGATCAGCCACAAAAGGCACTGCCTGGTTCTGGAAAACCTGGGGCAAGAGACAATGCCTGGTCAAGTCTGGCAGCAATGGGAGTCTCGAACTCTCCCCGTGGCTAACTCAGAAGCCTACATAAAACTCTCCTCCTTCTACCTGCTGTTCAGAAATCAACGGGGACGCTGGGCCCGTTTCCCAGCTTCGTTCATATACAGTGTTTCCAGGCCGAATCTCGGCTGGTTTAGGGATAACTCTTGATCGACTAGCACTTGGAACAACCTTCAGTAGTAGACCCTGAAGCTCATGGGTTCGTACTCCAGGCTTAGGGATAACTCTTGATCGACTAGCACTTGGAACAACCTTCAGCCGTAGACGCTGCAACCTTCAGCCGTAGACGCTGAAGCTCATGGGTTCGTACTCCAATTTTGAGTCCTAGCATTCAGGCTAGCAGTTAACGATTTTCTGACAGCCCAAGGGCTGAGAGGTCTCAGGCATAGGACTGGGTTACCTCTAGTCAGGGCTATGGAATAGAAGGTCAAGTCCTTTTAGTTCTTTGCTTTCTTTGTTTTCCAGGGGGTTTGTCCCCTGCAGGGCTCCTCCCTGTAAGGGAAACTGGGTAATGCGCCCAGAAGGTTCCTTTACCGGGTAGACTGTGAGGACCCCGGCCTCTGTTCTCATTGGTAATATAAGCCTTGGGCACTGGGCCCCTTTATTTTAAAAAAAAAAAGAGAAAAAAAAAAAGAAAAAAAAAAAAAAGAAATCGAGATTGAACTGCTTTCCTGCACCTCTGCATAAAAGACATCCAGATTCAGGAGCTTGATCCTATCCTCTTTGCTAGTGGGACCTCGGCCCCGAAGGACTATAGTTCGTTCCATTTTTAACGGATGTGCGGAAGGACCATTCCCCGGGTTCAGCCACCGGTGAATTTTGAGAAAAGAAGAGAGAAGAAAAGGGGGGGGCTTGGAGGCGGGGGGGAGGGGGTGGTACCGCAGAAGGCGGCGGAGTGAGGGAAGCAACAGCCCAGAACGGCGCAGGCACGCCCCGCACCACTGCGGCTGTCGCAGCCTCGGCACGGCAAGGTGTGCTGCTCCCGGTAGGGGGCTGGCAGCGGGGCGGGGAGCGCAAAGTAGGCGGGGCGGGGAGCGCAAAGTACGCGGGGCGAGCGCATCAGAGACTACGTCCGGTCCGTCCGATCTGAGTGGGGACGGGGTCCATCCGATCTGAGTGGTGACACGCGGCGGACAGCGTGGCGGAGTACACGTAGGAGAGGAGAGGAGAGGAAGCAGCAGTGTTCACGTGGACAGAGGAGCCAGCGGTGTGGGAGGTTGAGAGAGAGAGAGAGAGAGAGAGAGAGAGAGAGAGAGAAGGCGCAGCCATGATTACGGCACGTGGGCGACTGCTGGTGGCGCGAGTCGCTGCGCTCGCGCTGCGAGATGCGAGGCCGCGACTCTCGCGGAGTCTGCATCAGGTCGGGACTGGGACTGACTTGACCGTTGCAAGACGAGGATGGGGATCGCCATTCGGCTCATCAACGACGAGAGTACAACGGGTAAGGCGGCCATTCGATTTTCAATTCTAATAAACTGGTATATGGGTTTATTAGAATTGAAAATATTAGAATTGAAAATCGAATGCAACACACCCCTCTCCAACATTTCTTCCTACCCCACTTAACCCCCATTTGTTTTTTCTCTCGGCACCCTGCCCGCNGAGAGAGAGAGAGAGAGAGAGAGAGAGAGAGAGAGAGAGAGAGAGAGAGAGAGAGAAAAGATGTTTAACGGCTATGGTGGTGTGCTGTTCCTCAAATTACTTGTTCATTTCTTGAAAGTGTTGCCTATGGGGCGGAGCAGCCCGTCGTGGTGATGGTACGGATGATGGCAATGGTGGAGAAAGGAGTGATTAGGAGAAGTAATCAATTGCGCCGCAAGAAACGACAAAAAATCGAATTCAGAAAGGCAACGGCATATGCGTGACGTGGAAAAAACATTTCGCAGTCATTGAGTTAAAATAAAAGATCACATTAATAAAAATACTAAAAATTAATTAAATACTGTTTTACTATTTAATGCGTGCCATATAAGACAAGAAACCGACGATTCATTTGTCGCTAAGAGATAAGTTATTAAAAAAAAAAAGTAGATAATACTAAATTACAGTAAGTAACAATTTTTTTTTAATGTATTTTGTCAAGTTTTGATTTGTCAATAAAAAATACTTATTATAATTATGCAAGGAAAGATGAATGTTATCTTGCTGATAGATCGAATGCCGCACTCCGCGACGTTGCTGATCATTAAAAAAAAAAAAGAAAATGCTGATCGAAGCTCCGCGGGATTTCTCTAGCTAATAGGATTTTGGGAGATGGGCATCTTCTTATTTGTTCTCGGCTAATGGGAAGGCCTTACCAAAAAATGACGAATTTGAATTAAAAAAATATAAAAATGCATCGAATTGCAGTAAAAAAAAAAAGCGATAAAAAATCGAATGGTGGATAAACCTAAAATTCACGAATGAAATTAATAAATAAAAAAAATTCACGAATGGGCTACAAGTTTGCTTAAGGGTGCTGAAAATTGAGAGTCGACTTTAATGATGAATTGGACATAAGGCTATAATAATTGATGGATGGGCGACGGCCTTGAGATATCATCGTTCAACTGACCGGCCCTAGGTAATTCAGAAGTGCGTTTTTTTATCTGACTGCATCTGGATTCGAATTTGGGTCTGATTCATATTTCCGACAGTTCTTGGGGGGTGTACAAACTGATCTAGGTCGGCCCCCCCTGTGCCTTGATTGAACCAAAAATGGATATAAAACATTATAAAATGAGCACGAAGAGGACGATTTAAAAAAAATGAGGCTATAATTGATGGACAGTAATTCGCCATATCTGCTGGATAGGAGATATGGATAATAAATTAATAATTAATGATTATGACGATAAATGATGATCGCGATTATTACGTCGCTGCTGCTGCTGATGGCGATGTGATGATGATATTACGTCGCTGCTGCTGCTGATGGCGATGGTGATGATGATGATGATGATGATGATGATGATGATGATGAGGAGGAGGAGGATTTTGTATATAGCGCAATTTGTTTTTATCTTATATGGCTACTGTGCATATATCCTCTGAGGATCTCACTCGTTGCAATCATCAACAATTCCAAACCGAATACTCAACGAAAGTACCCCATCTTCGAGATTGATGATGTGCATGCTGCTGCTGCTGCTGATTATGATGATGCTGATTATGATGATGCTGATTATGATGATGCTGATGATGTTGATGATGATGACCTTTGAGGATCTCATTCGTTGCAATCATCAACAATTCGAAACCGAATATTCAACGAAAGTACCCCATCTTCGAGATTGATGATGTCCATGCTGCTGCTGCTGCTGATTATGCTGCTGCTGATGATGTTGATGATGATGATGTTGATGATGTTGATGATGATGATGATGATGTTGATGATGATGATGATGTTGATGATGTTGATGATGATGATGGTGATGATGATGATGATGATGAGTATCGAATATTTTGCCTGTCGAAGTACAATTGACAGTATGATTATAGTTATTATCTCCTTGCACTTGGGACAGCAGACCGGTCATTATCTTCAACTGGTACCGTGCCTGATTCAGCCTCTTCACCACTTCTCGTGCTTGGTAAGAAGTGTATTTATACCGCTTTTCGTGCTCGGTACATTTTCTTTCGCCGTCGTTCATTATCGTCTCGTCGAACGAACAATGAAAGAACCAAAGAAATGTTTGCTTCGGAACACGATAATCAATTGAAAATTTGAAACCGGCATTACCAAAAAAAAAAAAGAAAAAAAAAAAGAACGGAGTACGGATGTATCAAGCGCGACAAATGGTACAGGTGCATTCATTGTGTTCATCGCGCCTGTGAAGTTCTGTCCATGTTCCAGGAAGTTTTGTCGTATCTGGCCAGAGCATAGGGACTTTTTTTTTTGTTTTCTCTCTCTCTCTCTCTCTTTTTGAAAAGGGTGGCGCCCTTGGGATATCATTTTTGATCGGACCGGTCGCAGGTAAATTCTGTTTTTTTTTTTTTTTAATTATTATTCAGAGGCATTTTAACTCATCATCTGAATCCATCGGAATTCGAACTCCTTACGGTCGGAGGACTGGTCGCAGGTAAATTCAGGTCCGCATTTCAACAACTGATGGGTGTACCAACTGAGCTACCGTCTTCCGCCGAACATAATGCACCCTGAAATTGAGCGTATGCAAGCTATATTTCCGGTCCGGTACAGCCAAGGTGAGGCTGCGTTGTGTTCCGGGGAAGACGGTAGGGCAGTCGGTTAGATACTGTTTTTTTTGTCGTATCTGGCGCGCTCGAATTTGGCATTTTTGTCGTTTTCCTGGCTTCTAAACAGTCGCCTTTGTTGACTGTGCGCGTTCCCGCCTTTTACTATTTTGGTACATGGCGGGAAGAGGCGGGAAAAGGCGGGAAAGCGTTCCCGCTGCAAAGAAAACAAATGGGAAGAAGAAGAAGAAGAAGAAGAAGAAGAAGAAGATGAATTGAA